CCAGAGCCCTGACTTAAACCCAATTGAGCATCTCTGGAGAGACCTGAAAATGGCTGTCCACCAACATTTACCATCCAACCTGACAGAACTGGAGAGGATCTGCAAGGAGGAATGGCAGAGGATCCCCAAATGCAGGTGTGAAAAACTTGTTGCATCATTCCCAAAAAGACTCATGGCTGTATTAGCTCAAAAGGGTGCTTCTACTAAATACTGAGCAAAGGGTCTGAATACTTATGACCATGTGATATTTCAGTTTTTCTTTTTTAATAAATCTGCAAAAATGTCAAAAATTTTGTGTTTTTCTGTCAATATGGGGTGCTGTGTGTACATTAATGAGGAAAAAAATGAACTTAAAGGATTTTAGCATATGGCTGCAATATAACAAAGAGTGAAAAATTTAAGGGGGTCTGAATACTTTCCGTACCCACTGTATATTTAACCTTTTGGCAGCCTATTCAATGAAAGACTCTGGGATCTCCACTCGTGGTTGGAGAATCACTGAGGGGGAGAACAGAGAACGCAGCCAGACCACTGACCTCTCGCAGAGAGACCATCCTGTATATAGTGTCCTGTAGGGGGAGAAGCAGGCAGAGTGGGGGTGGGGGACTGTTGCTGGAAGCACAGCTGGAGAGGTGAGGGGAGCACTCGAGAGCTGAGGTTATTGAGTTGGGAAAAGGAGAGCAAGTGGAAAGAAGAGAGGAGATCGAGGGGGGGCTTTATTGAGAGAGGAGAGGTGAGGGAAGTGGTGTGAGAGAGGTGCCAGGTGGATAAGAGAAATGGAGTGAGAGCGAGAGAAAAGAAAGGTGCAATGTAGGGATTAAAGCTGAAATGAATGACATATGGAAAAGGTGAAAGGAAGACTGGTGGGGCAAAAGCAGAATAGGCAAATATATAAAATATACATTTTGTTTCTCCCCTTTGCACCTGACACCAAACTACATCCTAATAAAATTACAATCTGATAGAACCAAATCAGATTAAATGCAGGCGTGAATGTGCCTGGGACACCCTGGAGTTCAGCTTTTGTCCATATGTAGTGATTGTGCACCCAGATATATACTCACAAACAGATGGACGGCAGCTTAGACTGTAGCCTACTCTTCTGCATGGATTTATAAGGATACTTGAAGACTGAACAGCTGACTGAGCAAGACCAAGTGCTTCCTGTCAATATTAATTATTTCACAAATATTACCAGAGGATGTTATGTGCAAAGTAACCTGAGAGACTGAGATATAATCGGGAAAGGCACAAACAGTATATAGGAGTTAAGTTTAATGTCAGATATAGCTCTCATATGAGACGTATATTAATGCCAGGTGGAGAAGAGATTTAAGAGCTCGGCAATTTTTGGAGAGAGCTTATATTTGATCTTTCAAGTTTATTAGATAGGATACGATAGAGGTGAAGTGTGGGAGGAGTAGCAAACCCCAGAAGTCCGATTGGATGAAGAGACATTGGAGGGTACGTTTTATCAACAGCAGGATGCCTCATGAGGACACATGGTTAAAGTGGGCACTGGAGGATGGAGAGATGGGCAGGTGGATGAATAGAAGAACAGGTGCTGTGGTGTAGAAACCGGGGGAGGGAGGTGGAGAAATAAGGAAGCAGCGAGGTGTGAGGTGAAAGGGTGAGGGTGACAACAACATTGACACAGTGTCAGGGAGAGAGTGAGGTGTGCAAAGGCAGGGAAGTAGACATAGCACGACTGGGGGAGTGGTGAGCTTAGCAGGGTCTGCAAGTCAAAGAATCCTCACTGGGTTCAATGTTTGATGCAAGCCTTTCTTTCCTGGCTCTCTAGCCTCCAGCACTTTTCTCCTGCCCTCGAATCTTACCCAGCCTTTCATTTCATTACATTTCATTTCACTGCTTCCTCTCAGTTTGTTTCCTTTCTTTGTCTTCCTATTGACAACATCTGTTCCTTAACCCTGAACCCAAATTTGAAAGCCACGCTAGGAAATGTTACATCTGCTGCTTTTTTGCTGGCAGGAGGAATATGAAGTTTGATCACAATCGGTAAACTGAACTTTGTCTCACTGACATGTAGGAGGGCAGAGATGATGAACTTGTCTATGAGTCTGTTCTTTTCTGTGCTCCCAGTTTTCACTCTGAAATTAGATTTTGTAAGTTCTTGACACAATTTTATTTAGGCCAAAACAGGCTGAACTGATAGGGTCTCAGGTGGCAGTGAAGTTGTTTAATTTTACCACTAGCTCTAAATCCAAACCATAATCCAGAAATAAACATTATTTACTTTTAACTCAGAGGTCCTGAAAACCTATTTCTTACTCAGCTTCTTACTTTAAGTGATGGGGTCCTACATGCACACACCATGTTTTGATTATTTCACAATTGTGGTTTCCTTTATTTTCCTTTTTTTGTCTGTGGTCTTGTTTCAGCACTATGTGAATCTGACTCAAACTGGTGTTTTGAGGCCATTGTCAGTCAAATCTGATCAAAGCATAACAACAAAGTTAATGAAGCAGAGGAATTTCAGAGCAACTAAATACTGAATGGTGTTTTCCCCCCTAAAGTTGTACTTAGATTGTTGCATATGAATATATAAAGGGCTCCGGCACCAATCGAAAGACTCTATGAGCGCTATTCAGCCACTGCAAACCGCTGTATAATTGAAGAGTTCAAAAGTCTGAAAAAAAAAACACTGACCACACGTCTCAGTTCAGAAATCTGTGTTATAAACTTTACAATATAGGGACACTTAACAAGCAGGGTGAACGACTCTAAGTTCCATTGTGGAGCTTCACTTGCACTAGTAAGTAAAGAAGGACGTCCTCTGCTTGACAATTTAACAGTTTGACAAATAAAAAAAGATCTGTCTCAATTTCTGGGAGTGAAATTCTAAATCACCTCCCTAATGTTAAAGAAAAGAAATCACATTGTCAGGGGCTTTAAACTTTTACATCGACCTTATTCCAGCATGAATGCTGAACCCAGCGCCTCTCCAACGAAATAAACCCAACACTCTTCTTCACAAGGACAACAGGTACATGTAACCTACACACACACACACACACACACACACACACACACACACACCAGTTCTGACTGGGATATCAAGACAGCATTTTTCTCTCCTGCTGATTTTCACCAGTATTGACAAGCACCTGTGCACTGTGTGTAACAAAGGTTCCTAGCAACAGTCGTCCAGGAGAGACATCGTCAGGATGCACACCTGTTTGATCTGCCGGGATCCTCTGTGATAAGTGGCCCCGGTAACCACGGCGACCAGGATATGGGATGGATCCATGTGGTGCTATTGAATGGCCTTGGATTATAAATACACATACACACACACCTATATGGAGACTTACATGGATACACACACACACAAACTTAGGAAATACACATCCACACACCTAAAGTGGTGTGCACACATACACACTCACCAAATAAACCAATACACATGCACTGTGAGAAACTACACAAAGAACAAAATCATACAAAGCAACAAAAGTCGTACATACGAGGCAGTAGATCACCCAGGAGCATGCTGGATTTCACACCTGCATGCAGACTCATAACAGACTGCACACATGGAGAAATGTGCAAAAAAAAGGGTCTCCCATTCAGAAAAAGAAATAATCAGCAATAGATACACACAGACCATCTCCAAACATTGCAGTGAGAGAAACAACACAACGCAGTGTAGAAAAAGATGAGGTGGCAGATGGCCGACATGCTGACAGTTACTTACAGTGTGCAGGTGGATGAGGAAGCGTTCTGCCTTTCGCTAAAGAACTCTGCATTGACCTTGGAGTGAAAAATGTGAATCGTTAACTGCAGCAGTCATTTACACAGAAACAGACGTACAAATCTGCACACTGAACTACATAATTGTCAGCGTTGTTACATTTTCTATAGACTGAAAGACTTGATAGAAATGTGAGCTTTTAAATGCAATCAACCGTGAACAATACCCTGTGCTGCTCTGCGAGCCTTTTCCTCTGCACTCCTGCCTGATACATGGGAATGTGAATAGTTACCAATTAAGATGTGTGAAGTGCTGTTCTGTATATGGAGTCACATGCGAGTGCAGGTCTGAAGCATTGAAATGTAAATGATGCCACAGTATGTGTTTGTGTTCACACAGTTTCACATATAGAGATATAATACATCCGATCAGCCGTCTCCTCACAGGTTACACTGCACAAACATTGTGATAAAGAAGCATATGGACCGATTTCTACACCTACTGCAGTTATACATTCCTGTATGCACAAAGATAATTATATAAATGGCTATTTGTCTGCTTCTGAATATGAAAAGTTAATCAATAGAGCTTTAATTATATATGCATTATTGTCTTGAAAAGCTTTCTGCATAAGAATTTTAAATGACATGTAATTTTAAGGCACATATGTGATATTAATGATATGCTTTATCTTCAGCTCAATAACAGAGTTGAGAGATCAAAAATTAAATAGTTTAATAAATTAAAATAAATCAGGAAACATGTCTCTTCATTCTCACATGCACATACTGTACTTTACATACAAGCAGCCAGTTGCTTGTTCAGTACTGTTGCAACAGTACATAAGTAGGTCAGTCAGTAAACACAAAAAGGCAGTCATGTGCCTGATGAAGATCTGGTCTCTGACCTTCCAGTTTTCATGCACGATTGTCTATTTGCATTTATATGTATTTTCCTTTATGCTGATAGTCCTTTGTAAGTGCTGTTGAAATAAATCCTTTCTTATTGTTGTGCAAAGGGACAAGCCTGACACCTCAGATGTGATAGACTCTCAGAGAACAGACAGACACACAGCCATATCCTTTATTCTACAAGCCAATCATGACGCACAACCTTGCATGTCATGTGGACCAAGCAGCTCCAGCTGAACAGCAGTGGAGGTTTTTCTGCTCTGTTTTAAACCATTTGCCTTTCATGAGACAAATTTTCTCAGCATGAGGAAAAAACCACTGAGCATAAGTTTGACTGTCAAACAATCAGTCAACACCAATGTTCATTCTACCCTGTGCTTCTCATAGAAAGGGAGAATAAGTGCAAACATGCCACAGCCGAGAATCAAACGTCAGACCACATAAGGAGGTTCATCCATGCAGTTACCAACCTGACTGAGCTACTAGTGATATGTTGGTAGAGAACGAGTGAACAATGGGAGTCAGCTCCTCTCTGAGAGCTGATTTCTTTTTTTTCTTCTCCTTTTTTTAGTTGATTAATACAAGTCAGAATAATGGCCACGGGCAATAAGACCAGTCACATATCTTCAGGTTAAAAGGGGGTGGGGGTGATGGCCTAGACCTAGACAGAGAAAGCTTTGTGTTTTGGATAGTTTATTATTGATTTCATTTTATTTTTACATTTGATATGGACCTCACATTAACATTAGAATTATAACAAAAATGGATGCATGTATGTGTTTAGTGTTTGTAGCAGAATGCTAAATTACATCTTCCATTATAAATACGACATTCATGTGTAACACTGTTTCATGTTTTTAAATTACTATTTTTATATCAAACATAATGTGAACTAATGGTATTCTAGAAATCATAAGGTTTAGTACAGTTACGCTGATATATGTGTACACATACCAAACATACTGTAGGTTAAAACTCATTTGCTAAAATTGGCTGAATTATAAAAGTGGTGTTCCCTGTAAATGAAGAGCAGTTTGGAAGCCAAAAGTGTCAGCTCTTAATGCTGAGCTGAGCCAAATGATCTGGCTCACTAAAAAGAGCCAGAATTCCCCTCACTGTGATCTGCACAGTCTTATCAATCCAAAGGACTGTCAGTCAGTCACAGTTGGACTTCATCGCACTCAAAAGAGTCAACAGGTGATCGGTTTCCAGCTCATCAGTCCATTTTGATACTTCAGCCTTGTTTTTATGCAGTGTGTCTTGTACTGGCTGCTGTTTTCATAAGTGGGAGCTTGTTCTGTCTGTCACATCCAGGATTTCTTTAGTTTATTGACCTTTTTACTTGAGGTCAGTCAATATTGTTGGTCAGACTGTTGCATCATAAAACAACATGTATACTTGTCCATCTTTCAACTTATTTTACAAGTTAGATCTCAGACTGTGGGCCCAAAAAGTACTGTTTTTTTAAGGAAAACCCATGACACCAACTCTTGTTTTTTTCCTCTGCCACTGGCACAATGCTGTGACAAGATAATGATTCAGCCTGTTGCCACTTAATTAAGGCTTCTACATTTGTTTCTTGAAGGAACTGGTCTGGTGGGGTGGAAGCTCTTTTTCCTATGCACAACACGTGATGTGAGTTACATTTCTGTTTAATTTTTAAAGGAATAAACAGAAGTAAAGAATAGGTAGCTTTAGCAGCAATAGCTACCACAACTAAGTCACTACTGCCTTCAGTTAGTTAAAGTCCAAACTTGTCATCTCTTTTAGTTGTCAAAACTAATGTCCAAGTGATTTTTATACGTATTGTTAATTTTTATTATTAAAAATAACAAAAAGATATCTGGGGCAATATTTGAATGCAAGCTGTAGTAATGGCAGGTCAGTGTCAGTTTGTCAGTCATGAAACAGGGAAACAAAGTAGACGAAGTTGCACTGTAGCTTACCACTCATGCAAACATACTGTAAGGACCAGACCAGTATCTAAAGTGACCACAATTACACTTTGTACAGTTGGTAAGTGAGTGAAGGTGAGTTTTGAAGCTGTTTAATGTTCTATCACTGACTAGCTTATTAGCTAACTAGACTAAAAATGACATTAGCAGTACACTGTTTGCTAACGTAAGCCTATGACTCTTGTGTAGCAGGCTGCTAGTCAGTAGTGGTGTCCAAACTCAGTCCATATTTACTATAAAAAGCACCACATTTAACCTCTGTTTTATTTGACTGTCTGAATTCTGAGTGTGAAATTTATCCACTTTATAGAGTTATCAGTTTTTGCTTATACAGTTTAAAATGAAAGATTGAATTGGCTGTATGAAAACTGTATTTTGACTGGTAAATGCAAAGAACAGAAACCAAAATATATGACATATTTAACTTCTCTTTTTGCATGCAGTACTGTTATTTCTCCAAGTTGAGCAGTATGTTCAGGGTGGGAGAATGTGTCAGGCTTGGGTTGGGTTTGGACACTACATACTTCAAGCAGGTTGGGTCTAGATCAGGTTCGGACGCCACGCTCAGTTGGGTTCGACAGAAATCTGCAGCCTGATCCATGCTCTACATTAAAAATACAGACAGTACATAACCCTGATACTGATGCAGCTTACTAGCAGGGATGGGTTCTGATAGCTGATTCCAAGTTGGTAAAAATACCCAGATTCATTAAGCTTCATGGCCAAACGAATCCCTTATTTATCCTTTCATTCATGTTCTGTTTAGCTTACTGTTTGCCCTCTCAAATGCAAAAAAGACTGATGTATACCAATTTGAGTTGGACTTTAAACTTCAATAAGAAATCCAAAAAGAAAAACACTTCACTGTACTGTAGTGCCCCAGAACAACAAGAGTGAATGAATCTTGAAAAAAATCTCCATGGAGCAATACATTTTGGGAGTATTTACAAGTTGATATTCGACGTCCTTGTTAAACAACTCCACACTAACTCCAAAATAAAAAAGAAAGGTGTAGGACCCTTGCCCTAACAATATTTCCTTTTTTCTCTCTCTCATTCACAAGTGTCTCCTCCCCACCACTTTCACTTCTCTCACCTCTCCTTCCCTGCTCCCCTGCATCCCATTCCACCCCCCTGTCCTCTTGTGCCTTCCTCCAGTAAATGAAAAGGCCACATCAAACAATGGATTTAGCCTGCTCCTTAAGCAGATGAGGGGCTGGGAAACAACAGAGAAATGAAGCTGGGATACAGGAGGTTAAAGGTTGGGGTGGGTGTAGAGGTATGGGTGGAAGTGCTGTAGAAGAGAAGGTGGAAGTGTGGGGGGAGGGTAAAAAATGGAAGGTGAAAAAAATAGTATAGAGTATGTAGAAAATCTGACATCTAACTTCTGGTCTTTTACACAAAACTACATAGATATAATGAGACATTTTAGACAACAAATGATGCACAGGTAGAAGCTCTATTTAAGTAGCAGCTTCCCATATTTCCTAACATACACAGTACCTTCATTTTTACATTGACAGCTTTTACATTTTGTATTTTATTTTTGTTAGTGTTAACTGTCATTTTCACATTTTACATTAACAAGTCTCCCTAGTTTGTATGAGCTGATAACATGGATTACGTGGAGCCAAATTAATTTTTTTGCTTTTTTGAAATCATCTTTTTATATTTAACTCAATAATTATTGTTTTTACTCATATTCAGACAAATAATTCTACAAGGGAACAAAGATTAGTGCAAAACTCAGCAACATATCTCTTAAACGTCTGCTTTTAATGAACTAAGAGCAAAGGACAAACATGGAAACAATGTGTACATAAAACTAAAAACCAGAGCCAACTCGTGTGATAATTGATAATTGTAAAAGATTTTCTTTTTTTGTTGCTGCTGAAACTATATTTCCCCTCAGAGCATCAATGAAATGTAACTAACCCGTCACTCCCTTCACAGGTAGCACAGAGGAAGCGCTGTGCAGTACTGAAGAAGAGCTGTACAAGGCCACACCGGAATAACAACTTGTTTTCACAGCCTTACAAAGAGGCTTTGTGAAGTCAGATTGAAAGAGCTCTGACGCTGTAATAACGTTGTTGGGGAGAACGGGAGAATCAACCCAGATCCTGCCTCAACTAGTGGTGGTGGAACTGATCCAATGTCAGTCGCTTGTGCTGAAGGATGTGAAGAAGCAACAGGAGGACAGGAGGCAGATAGGAAGAGCAGGAGGGAGGAAGAGGACTGGAGGAGCAGAAGGTGTGGGGCAATGGCAGAGAGTCTCTCACCAGCTCTGTCACAACCACATGCTTGGCTGCTGTTGCTGCTGATTGTGATTGCTGTTCAAACAAGGCCGACAGCTGCCACAAACATCTACTGCTTAATATGACACACTTGCACACACACTGATAGGCACCCTGTTATCTGTCTTTCTTGTTCTTGCTCTCTGATAAGACTGTGGCCGCTGTGATTGCCCTCTGCTCTCTGTAAAGTATGACAGCTCAATCACTCATCAAATCAAGATGTTCCCTCATCATAATGGCATATCTGAGCCTTCTATCAGACACTTTGTCATTCTGTCAGTCTCGGGTTTGTCATGTTTTCCCCTCAACTAAAGCATAACCTCCATTAGTCCCCTCAAAGCCTATAAATAAATAAATAAAGCACAGTGGTCACATGAAAATATGATCGTGTTCACTTTCTGTTGGTTTAATGAAAGGAAACACTCCCTTCTGCATTAGTCAGTATCCAGGAAATTAATTAGTCATTTTTCAAACAAATGTGCAGAGTAGTTCCAGCTTCTTGAATATAGGAATTTGCATCTTTTCTCTGTTTTGCATTGTAAACTGAATATTTCTGGTTTTCAAACTGCATATCACCAGTGGTCTCTGGGAAATTGTGATGGACCCTTATCACTGTTGGTTTGGATTTTTTTATGCTTTATGGGACCATATTTAATTAATTCCTCAAGAAAATAATCAGCAGGTGAATCAATAATAAAAAAATAATCTGCAGTAAAATTTACATTTAATTCACTATTACACGAAACAGCCTAACTTTACAGCCAGTGCCCATTCCAATCACTATGCTGTGCATCGACACGCACACACAACACAAAACCAGTAATAACTACCAGTTTATCTAAAATGCACTGACCGTACCAAGGGAGTCTGGTTTTTGATTTGAAATCAAACACTGTTGTCTGCGGTTTCTAGACACTCTGCTAAAGCTGATAATGACTCAGGGCAAAAGGGATTAGTTATGTATTCAGAGCATGTTCACTCAGTAGCATATAATTCACACTGCTTGTTTTATCCCATCTTCCACAGATAGCAGCAATCGCAACACCATCACAAATGCTCTGCCTCTCTCTTGTGCTTTCCTGCTGTTTTCCCTCTATTTCTGTCATCCCCTCTCTCTTTCTCCCTCACACACACACACGCACACACACACACACGCACACACACACACACACACACACCCAC